CGAAATTTCAAGTACCATTTGAGACAACATAGAATTGGATATGGAGGTGAAGGAGAATACTGTTTCACAATATCTTTAAAAGAATATCATTATTATGACCTGGAGGAACACAGCGGTCCAGGCAGCATCAGAGGAACAGGAAAGTTGAAGTTTGGGGTCGGGATCCTTCTTCAGAAATGGAGAGGGGGAAGGGAGCTCCCAAATAAATAGAGAGAGGAGAGGTGGGGTGGGGGAAGGTAGGTGGGATGGTGATAGGTGAGTGCAGGTAGGGAGTGGTGGGGTTTGGTCAGTGGGAAGGCTGGGGCGGATAGGTGGTAGAGAAGATGGACAGGTTGTGACAGGTCAAGGAGGCGGGGATGAGAGGGAGGATTGGACATGGAATGAGGCCGAGCGTGGAGAGATTTTAAAGCTGGTGAATTCCATGTATAGGCCATCGGGCTGTAGGGCTCCCGAGGCGAAATATGAGGTGCTGCTCCTCCAGTTTGCGGGTGGTGTCATTGTGACACTGGAGGATGCCCAGGATGGACATGTCCAAGGGAATGAGAGGGGGAGTTAAAATGGTTGGCAACCTGAAGGTGTTGTTGTTTGTTGTGTACAGAGTGCAGATGCTCTACAAAACGGTGTCCGAGTCTATGCTTGGTCTCACCGATGTAGAGGAGGCCACATCAGGAGCAGCAGATGCAGTAGACCAAGTTGACAGATGTGCAGGTGAACCCCTGTCTGATATGGAAAGTTTGTTTGGTGCGTTTGAATGGAGGTGAGGGGGGAGGGGGTAGGGCAGGAATAGCACTTCCTGTGTTTGCAGGGAAAGGTGCCGGGGGTGGTGGGGCTAATGGGGAATGTGGAGCAAACAAGGGAATCACAAAGAGAGCGTTCCCTACAAAAGGCAGATAGGGGTGGGGAGGGAAATATCTCTTTGGTTGCGGTGTCTGATTGTCGGTGGCAGAAGCGGCAGAGAATGATACATTGGATGCGGAGGTTGGTGGAGTGAGATGTGAGGAACAAAGGGATTCTGTCTTTATTTTTGTTGGAGGGAGGGGGTGTGAGGGCAGAAGTGTGGGAAACACACGAGATGCAGTTGAGGGCATTTTCGATCACCGGAGGGGGCAAGTTACGGTTGTTGAAATAGGAGGATATTTGGGATAAAAACCAAAAGAACTGCGGATGCTGTAAATCAGGAACAAAAACAAAGTTACTGGAAAAGCTCAGCGGGTCTGGCAGCATCTGTGAAGGAGAAAACAGAGTTAATGTTTCCGGTACGAGGAAGGATCACCGGACCCAAAATGTTAACTCTGTTTTCTCCTTCACAGATGCTGCCAGACCTGCTGAGGATATCTGGGATGTTTGAGAGTGGAACATCCCATCTTGGGAGCAGATGTGGCGGAGGCAGAGGAATTGGGAGTAGGGATCGCATTCTTTCAGGAAAGTGGATGAGAGTAGGTGTAGTCCAGGTTACTGTGGGAGTCGGTGGGCTTGAAATAGATATCAGTTTCGAGGTGGTCACCAGAGATGGAGACAGAGGGGTCCAGGAAGAAGAGGGAGCTATCAGAGATGGTCCAGGTGAATTTGAAGTTGGGGTGAAAGGTGTTAGTAAAGTTGATGACCTGTTCAAGCTCCTTGTGGGAGCACGAGGCGGTGCTGATACAGTCATCAATGTAGCAGAGGAGGAAGTGAGGGATAGTGCCAGTGTAACAGCAGAAGAGGGACTGTTCCACGTATCCTACAAAGAGACGGGCATAGCTTGGGCCCATGTAGGTTCCCATGGCCACCCCCTTAGTCTGTAGGAAGTAGGAGGAGTTAAAGGAGAAATTGTTGAAGGTAAGCATGAGCTCAGTTAAGCAGATGAGGGTATTGGTGGAGGGGGACAGGTTGGGCCTGCGGGAGAGGAAGAAGCGGAGGGTTTTTAGGCCATCCGCATGGGGAATGCAAGTATACAGGGATTGGATGTCCGTAGTGAAGATGAGGTGTTGGGGGCTAGGGAATTGGAAATCTTGGAGGAGATCTTATCTCCGCTTACCTTGACTCTGTTTTCTCCCCCCGGTCCAGGAACTCCCCACCTACGTCCAGGATACCACCCATGCCCGCCACCTCCTCCAAGCCATGGGCCCCTGCATGGGCCCAAGCTATGCTAGCCCCACCACCCCCGGCACCTTTCCCTGCAACTGCAGGAAGTGCTACACCTGCCCCTACACCTCCCCCCTCACCCCCATTCAAGGCACAAAACAAACCTTCCGTATCAGACAGGGGTTCACCTGCACATCCGTCAACTTGGTTTATTGCATCCGCTGCACCGATGTGGCCTTCTCTACATCAGTGAGACCAAGCATAGACTCAGAGACAGTTTCATAGAGCATCTGCATTCTGTACGCGACAAACAACACCTTCCAGTCGCGAACCATTTCAACCCCCCCCTCCCACTCCCTGGGTGACATGTCCATCCTGGGCCTTCTCCAGTGTCACAATGACGCCACCCACAAACTGGAGGAGCAGCACCTCATATTCCACCTTGGGAGCCTACAGCCCAGTGGTCTAAACATGGAATACACCCTGTTTTAAAATTTCCCCACCGCCGGCCTCATCCCATGTCCAATCCTCCCTCTCATTCCCGCCTCCTTGACCTGACACAACCTGTCTATCTTCTCTCCCACCTATCTGCCCCTCCCACCTCATTGACCAATCCCCATCACTCCATACCTACACTCACCTATCACCATCCCACCTACCTTCCCCAGCCTCACCCCTTCTCTCTTTATTTATTTCCAAGCTCCCTTCCCCCTCCCCATTTCTGAAGAAGGGTCCCATCCCAAAACGTCAGCTTTCCGGCTTCTCTGATGCTGCCTGGCCTGCTGTGTTCCTCCAGCTCCACACTGTGTTATCACTGAACTCCAGCATCGGCAGTTCTTACTATCTCTGATTATTATAACCTATCTTGTCCCATCCCTGATTAACATTTTGCATTCACCTTAAAATGTCATGTGCATAGGAACAATGGAATTGGTTAACATCAGGAGGAGAAAATCTGTGAATTTTGACGTGACTGCTTCAGCTGGAGAAATGGTTATGAGTATTGGCAAAAATATGAGGTCCATATTGCCCTGCAAAGAGAACATTTGGAAGAACTAAAAGGGATTTTGAGAAAGGCACACAGGTTACATATTAAGGTTTATCTAGAGAATCTAGACAGATATTAAAAACGTTAAGGCGCATTCTGGTTTTAGAGTAGATCTGTAGCTCGGCTTGTGGGTGTTGTGGTTGGTTGACTCACCGAGCTGGTTCGTTGTTCTGCAGACATTTCATTAACCCTGCTGGGTAACATCATCAGTGGTGCGATGACATCTGTAATTAGGGAAGTAATGTACACATGGCTGCATGGATTCATATTATTTCACATCTTGTTGTCATTATTATTGTGTGTGCTTGGATTTAGCTTGTTTTTATTCAATCATGTTTCGCTTTTGGTGTCAGCAACAAATACAGCAGCTGAAAAGGAAATTAGTTCTGTTAAGAAATGATACTCTTAAAGCTGCAATGGTTGAAGCATAATGTGTGTTGTTTACTATATATTATTTTGTGCATGTTTATTATTTATGATTCATTTACTGATCATTATTCTGTACTTCATTTATTGATTATTGGTTTGCATATATCTGAGCATATATGGTGCATTTTAAATTGGGCATGGTGTAATGACTCGACTTGATTATGAACCGAAGTTGTGGGAAATGGCCAGTTACTAGTGTTTGTTCATCACATTGAAAATAATGAACAAAGAGGAGGGACTATGACATTATAGACATCAGAAGTTTACTAGCTGTTCATGGACTGAATGAATCAACAAAAGATAAATAATTACACACAGCAATCACTCTGTCTGGTATAAACTGTTAAGGAACAAAGACAAGCTGTTACACAGAGACTCCACAATTAGCCATGTCTTGGCGAGATTACATAAACAAAACTGCTTTAACACCTGCTTGATAAACCGGATGCTTTATGGCCACAAAGGACAAGGATTGCCCTGCAGGGGAATTAAAGGAGTTAATCACAGGAAAGCTGTGTCTTTAAGCAGTCAGTCAATGCCAAATGTAACAAGAAACAAAGCAATTACTTTCGATATGAAGGCCAGCTGCAGACTTGCAGTAACTCAGATGAAAGACTCTAAAGAAATCACCAATGTATCACCTCATAGACCAAAGGATAAAAATCTGTATCAAGATTATCTCCAGAACTCCCCTTTAGCAGAACTCTGGACAACAAGTTTGCATAAGTATCCAAAACTGGACACTTCCAGATCACCGTTGGTTAAAATCCTGTCCAGATTCCACCTTTAATTGGGTCATAACTAAGTTGGGTTGTGAGGCTTAACTTGCTGAAGAGTCTTATTTTAGTTCTTACATGCAATAAAGTTTAAATCATTGTTTCAGTTGATTGTCTGTGAGATTTCTTATTAAGCAGCCAAATTAAAGGTAACTTGCGGTGATTTACCGACAACAAGATAATTCCCTTCCCTAAAGAGCATTAGTGAACCTGAGTTTGTTCACCCGATAATTTCAGCAGGACGTTAGCCTGGTGCAGTGGATTACTAGTCCAGTGACATTATCACTGTGCTGCCACCTCCTCCTATGATGCCCTATGATAGCTTTTGCCTTTAATTTTCTTCATCCTGTAACACATGACACAGTGAAGAACAAAAACAAAGTTGCTGGAAAAGCTCAGCAGGTCTGGCAGCATCTGTGAAGGAAAGAACAGAGTTAACATTTCAGGTCAGGTGACATTAGCTCTGTTTTTTCCTTCACAGATGCTGCCAGACCTGCTGAGCTTTTCCAGCAACTTTGTTCTTGTTCCTGATTTACAGCATCCACAGTTCTTTCTGTTTTTATTAGCACAGTGAAGCCTTGTTTCCTGCCCTCGGTTAACCTTCTCTAAAATGCTGTCCACTGTACAACCTCTTTTGTTACTTGATCTTTAAAGGTTATGTAAACTCTATTTTGTTTCGACAGGTCACAGAAACCACACTTTTGCGTCACACCATTGCAGAATGTCAGGCATGCGGTGAGCATTTTAATGTTATTGCATTTTTAACTGTATCTTTGAAGTGTAATGATAATATTTGATATGAAGGATAAGATCTTGTACTCTCACAAGTGTGTTTTTATTTCGAATAGTTTCTCTTCTACCTTCTCTGTCAAACACATTTGACATACACTCCACCTTCATATACCTGGGGCTCCGAGTTGGAAAATGCACAAAGTGAATAATGTCATGTCTGATTACAAATCCCCAGTATCATAAAAATGTTCCACTTAGTCTCCCATCCAAGAACTGATGGAACTTGGTGAACACCATCCAGCCTAGTGACTCTTGTAGAAGTGGAGAGACAGGGATATTCACTGAGGCAATACCGGAAAGTTGGACCCAGTTCAACGAAGGTTTCACCATAAGGCTTTCAAAGTTAATATTTGGAAAAACCATGGGTTTGATTTGATGCTGCCCTCCAATGGGTTTGAAAAGGTACATTAAGTCTGGTAGGCACCATGGCCTATCCAGATATTTCTGTCCCCACCACAATTTTACCCTAACAGCCTGGGCATTGGGCTGCCAGCCTCTATTGAGGCCTCCTGGTGGCCAATTAACAACCATTAAGGATTTAATTCTGCCTCCACAAGGACTTAACTAGTGGCAAGACCAATCCAGCCTCTCAGCTTTCCCTACATGTGGTGGTAGCTGACAGGGGTAAATGTTTTTCCCTCCCCCCACCCCCAGGAGGCACATCTAAGGGCTCCCCCAAGGTGTAACACTCCCTTATTACCCTCCCCCTAATATCTTTATCCCAGACCCTATTTGTGCCCACTGTCAGGCCTTACTGGGGTCTGCCAGCTGAGATCTTACACATACATTAAATCCTCAATCATGTATTGGTCGCTCCTCTCAACCCTAAGCAAGTGACCAATGCTGTACACAATACTCCCGATGAGGTCACACCAGTGAAAGCACAACGTCCCTACTTTTTAATCTCCCTCCAGTAAGTGATAACATTTTATTAACATTCCTAGTGGCTTACTGTTTCTAATTCTGCCTTTTTGGGATTCCTGCACTAGGACACCCAGATCCATCTGCATCTCATTACTCTGCAATCTCTCACTGTTTAGATACTATACTTATTTTTGTTCTTTCTGCCAAAATGGATAATGACACATTATGCCAATTCACTGCCAAGTGTGTGCTATGGTATTTTGGTATCAGGGCACAGAATAAGAAGCTGTGTTCACTAAAATAACACATTTAAAAGGCATTTGGATGGGCCTATGAATAGGAAGGGTTTACAGGGATATGGGCCAAATGCTGGCAAATGGGACTAAGTCAGTTTTGGATATCTGGTCGGCACAGAAAAGTTGGACTGAAGGGTGTGTTTCTGTGCTGTATAACTGTGCTGTATTCTATAACTCTGTGACATTAGTGCAAATCGTAAGACACTATATTCAGATCAAGACAAAATGCCTGGCTATTGTTTTTGCTTATGAACATTTCATCAGTACCTAACTGAAGAAGCAAAATGACAACCGAAAGAACTGTGGATGCTGTAAATCAGGTACAAAAACAGAAGTTGCTGGAAAAGCTCAGCAGGTCTGGCAGCACCTGTGAAGAAAAAAATCAGAGTTAACGTTTCGGGTCCAGTAACCCTTCCTCAGAACAAAATGACAGTCTTGTCTGCACACAAACCAGGAGATGCTTGAAGGTACCAAGATTCCTGATAGTTCAGAGCCAAGAGCTGGAGTATGCCTAGCTGCTGCAAGCAATACTGTTCCTGAGGAGGAGGTTATCTGCAGCTCAAATTCCAAGTGTTTCCTCGCACATTCCTAGGTGTCTGTATGCAAGGCCCTATGGGTAAATATTCCCTTCACCTTCTCCTTGTACACCCTCCAAATAAGGGAGGATTCTTTATTGGGCTAGTCCCATATTTAGACAAGTTGCCTTGGTAAATTCTGTAACTAAAATATTTGAGATAGCAACACCTAAAAGTGGAGAGCTGCCCAATGAAAACCAGCAGGGGTGTTGTTGGTTTGAAACGTTCTCTACCCCCTACCCCGCAACCCATCACTGCCACCTCCAGCTACTCCCTGTGTGTCACTGTAACTGCAAACTAGTGACTGTCAGAGCCTACACCCTCCCACCCCCCGGAAATGGTGTAGGGGACAATGATCAGGTGTTATACCATTTGCCAAAGTAATCCACCTCATGGTGATGACTGTGAAAACATCTTTCCAATTACATGGCCAAAATCCATTTTCATGCAAACTACAGACTATCCCTCCCTAGTGCTGACTTTATTTTGCCATGCAGAACCTACGATCCCAAATTTGAACTCAGTGTGTGGGAAATGTGAGCAATACTTGAGAATTTGATGTTCGTCTTCTCAGCTCACTGCATACTTGTCCAGATTGGTTTCCATAACGGTATTGAATTCATTCATCCCATGTTCCGACAACACTATTTTTAAAATTATGGATCTGGTTAATAATATTGGCACTGACATAGTTGGCAAGTAATCTTGTTGCTCTGTGTGACGTTGATTGAGCTGGGACACTCGCTCTTATTCCAAGTAGTGACATAGAATTTTTCACATCCACCTGAATGAGTAGATGCACTTTAGTTCAACATCTCACCTTAAAGTTGGCATCTCCTGCAGTGCAATGGTTCCTTAGCACTGCCAGCTTTGATTTTCATATACCCGACCCTGGAGTAGGACTTGAACTCAAGACGATGAAAAACAGTACAACTAAATCAGGATAGTTTGTAACGCAGAAAGCAATTTGGAGATATTCCCAATGACATCTCAGATTTTGTCCTTCTCAGTAGGGAATCTTGTGGGGCTTGTAGGCAATAGGAACAATAATGTTGACAGTGCAATCCCAAAAAGAGCATTCTTGAAATGCACTGGACAGCAGATTTAACATAGTAGAAATTCAATTTAAAGTATGACATTGGTTAGTTAACTGGAAGACCAGTTTGCAAGACAGGGCGCTGCCAATAGCATGGGTTCAATTCCCACATGGGCTGAGGTTACCAGGAAGTACTCTCTTTTACAACCTTTTCGTTCACCTGATGCATGGTAACCCTCAGGTTAAACCACCACCAGTCATCTCTTTAATGAGAGAGCAGCCTGATGATCTCACTATGGTGACTCTACCTATTTATTCACAGTTCAAATATATTAGACTAATATTCGTTTTTAGCAATATAATCTTCCACAATTAACAGCAAGTGTTCAGGATAGTTGTCCATGCATGGTACATATTACTTAGGTACAATATTTGTGTTTGAAATCTTTTTCCAGCACTTCAAGTAATTTTCTGGTAAACTGGCAAATAACAACATTGAAATGTAGCCAACATAGTCAGTGGGCATTAACAATAGTCAGCACTCCTTAAAAAGTAACTGATTGCATGAAGCACTTTGAGATGTTTCAACATGTGGGGTGTAATGTAAATACAAGTATTATAACTCAGCATTGCTCTGTGACACTTAAACCTTGATAAAGATGAGAGCAAGCCTCAGTCAATTTCTGAAAATCTGCTTTGCAGTACCAGTATAAATCTAATATTCAGGCAAATGCATAACTGATAATTTTTTGAAGAAGGGTCCAGGCCCGAAACGTCAGCTTTCCTGCTCTTCTGATGCTGCCTGGCCTGCTGTGTTCATCCACCTCTACACCTTGTTATCTCAGACTCCAGCATCGGCAGTTCCTACTATCTCCATATATTAATTACTGTTTTTCTAAATTTTCTACTTTAGGTGTAGGATTGATTGACTTGGAAGAAGAAATAGAACCCCCAGTGGTCCCCACTGTTGCTAAACCCAGATGTACTACTCAATCTTGTTTCCGAGGTGTACAATGTACTGAGACTCAGGAGGGAGTCCAGTGTGGCCCCTGCCCCACAGGGTATATCGGTGATGGAATTCACTGTACCGATGTAGATGAGGTAGGTAAACCTGCGATAATATCTATTCATTATAGTTTATAATCATTCCACTTTTCATTACAATTAAACAAAATGAGTTTGTTTCTCAATAGGTTTCTCTTTCTTTGTAAGTATTTATCTGAATAATGGTCAGTCTAGATTTGTATGTTTTGATGCTAATCAGTAATTTTTCGATGTAGTGTCAAGTGAATCCATGCTCTTCCGGAGTTCGCTGCGTGAATACCTTCCCTGGCTTCAGGTGTGAGGATTGTCCAGCAGGTTATACAGGACAGAGAGTCCATGGGGTGGGATTGGAATTTGCAACACTAAATAAACAGGTAAGGCATGGGCACAGCATGAAGGCCTGCATGGAAGCACAATTACATGGATATCGCAAATCAAGAGAGTAAAGGGATTGGGGGTAAGCAGGAAATAGGAGTGAGATCAAAGAGGTTGGAAACAGAAATCAGGCGAAAGTAGAACAAAAGTTAGAATTAGTTGGAATGGGAGTCAAGAGCATGGGGAACTGAAAATTTAGGTAGCATGGGAATGCAAGGCAGAAAGAGATGGAACTTAGAAAAGGATACAGAATGAGATCCAAGGGAAGGTAAACCTCTAGATCAAATGAAGTGGTAATGAGACTGGAAAGGGGAATAACTCAGGGGAAAGAATGGGAATGGAGAACAGAGAGTGAGTTAGGAAACAAATCAGAGTCAAATTAAGTGAAGAATGTTGTTCTGATGCCATTCACAAACTCCTGACTGAGAGACAAAGAGCCATTTCGGTAGGAAGCCATTGCATAAGCTCAAACTCAATGATGACAGGTACTTGCAGCAGTGATGGCCAAAATACAGCCGATGGGGAGATGCGGGATATCAGAACACATCCTAAGGGAACAACTTACTATTGGGTCGCAAGGGAACTCTATTCCAGCTGCCCTCAAGAAGTGGTGTAAAAGCACATCTCATGAATTTCAGGCCTTCTCACCTCCTTTAAGTTGCTGAGCTTTGTGAGACATGAGAAATGCAGCCACCTGTAGTTAAAAAGACACCCAGATTAATATGAAAACATATCGTCTCTTCAGAATATTTAAAAGATCAACCTACTTCCCACAAGTGAATGCCTTGCCCGCCCTTTGTTCCATCTTCATGCAAGTGGATGAGTTCAGTTCCAGTTGTAGGATTTTTTTTGCATTGTAACTTTTGATGGGACCCTAATCCAATCATTTTTGAGCCTTAGTTTCATCAATTGATGCAGGACTGAAATCACATGTATGTGAAATTGTGTGAGGGTCGACATCAGCTTCCCCAAGGATAATACTGATCTAATTGAACCTTTGCAAAAATCCAGCAAATTTTCAGTGTCTTTTTTTCACCTGTTTCTAGCCACAACCTATTCAGAATTGGACGCATTGGAACTGACAGGTGCCTACTTTAAAATTTTGAGATAAATGTAAAAGATTTCTTTCTTCCCCTCGTTCATTCCTTATGTTTGCAATTACACATGAGTGCAGTTTACAATGGCAGAAAATCTCAGAGTAACAGCGCAAACACCTACAAAATTCGTTATTGGTTTCTAACAGTCTTCAACTGTTTACTTGCATCTACTTGGAGGAAATGGCTGATGCCTTTTTGTTTACAGAATCATAGAATGGTTACAATGCAGAAGAAGGCTATTCGGCCCATCATGCCCGTCATGTTCTTCAAATAAGCATCATGACTTAGTGCCATCCTCATAGAATCCCTACAGTGTTGAAACAGGCCCTTTGGCCCAGCAAGTCCACACCGACTCTCAGAGCATCCCACCCAGACCCATCCCCTATAACACACCTAATCTACACATCCCTGAACACTATGGGTAATTTAGCATGGCCAATCCACCAGCCTACACATCTTTGGACTGTGAGAGAAAACCAGAGCTCCCAGAGGAAACCTACACAGACACAGGGAGAATGTGCAAACTCCACACAGACAGTCACCCAAGGGTGAAATCAAACCCTGGGTCCCTGGTGCTGTGAGGCTGCAGTGTTAACCACTGAGCCACTGTGCCGCCCGATCCTCTCACCCTTTCCTCATAAACCTGCACCTTACTTCTATTTGAGTAATCATCCAGCACACTATTGAATGCCTTGACTGAATTTGCCTCCACCGCACTTTCTGAAAGTTTCTTTCCAGTCCCTAACTACTCCCTGCATGAAAAAGTTTCTTCTCAAGTCACATTTACTTCTGTTGCAAATCATTTTAAATCTATGCCCTCTCATTCTTGATTCATTTATGAGCAATAAGTTTCCTCACATTTATTCTGTCTGGAACACTCATGGTTTTGAAAACTTCAATCAGATCTTTCCTTATCCTACTCCTGTCAATGGAAAACAGTCTCAACCTCTCCAATCTACAAATTTTTATTTTCAGTCCAATAGTGAAGTTATTTTAAATAGATTATCAGGTCAAAATAGCATGGAATGAAATTTTATAGGTCTGCTTTATCCTGAGATGAAAAAAATCAAGTGCTATGAGGAAAAGGCAGGAGAGGCAGTCAAAGGTTATCAGCTCAGCTGTGATCTCACTGAATAGCAGAGTAGTCTCGAGGGGCTGAATGGCCACTTCTGCTCCTATATCTTATGATCTGATTGCACTAAATGTTGCGCTGAGTGCAAATCAAATCACAAAATTGTGAATAAAACATCTAGAAGTGTGAATTTGTAGAATTGTTGTGACCAAGAACTCAGTCCAAATAGCTGAAGATTTACTGACTACATTCAAGCAAGTCAGAAAGGCTAGGAAATAATGTTCATGGGGAACTGTAATGCATTATTAACCATGAATTGTATCTACAACAGGTCTGCATTGATATAGATGAATGTAGTGACGGAACGAATGGAGGCTGTGCTAAAAATTCCCAGTGCATTAACTCTATGGTAAGGATCCTGATTAAGTCCACTACCTCCTAAATGCATTTCATTCAAAAACCTGAAAACTGCTTGTTATGGAGAGTAACATTTTTCTGTTAAACTGTGAGAAAAATGTTCGACAAAGTACTGCAAAAAAATGGCTGGTTAATGAAATTGAGACTCATGAAGGTCTGCATCAGCTAGGATAAAAACACTGACTTAATACCAGAAAATAATGATTTATAGTGAATATTCACTTTATAAATTGAAGGATCGTAGACAGCAATATTCCTTAAAATGTGACAAATAGAGATGAATGAATGATTGATTTGATTGATTGTTGTCACATGTTTTGAGATACAGTGAAAAGTGTTGCTTTGCATGCTATACAGGCAGATCGTACCATACAAAGTAGCAGAACAGAGTGCAGAATACAGTGTTACAGCCACATAGAAAGTGCAGAGAGAGAGAGATCAGAATTAACATTTGACAGGTCTGTTTCAAAGTCTGATAACAGTGGGGAAGAAGCTGTTCTTGAATCTATTTGTACACGTATTCAAACTTTTATATCTTCTGCCTGACGGAAGAGGGTGGAATAGAGTACAACTGGGATGGGAGGGGCCTTTGCTTATGTTGGTCACTTTCCCAAGGCAGTGGGAAGTATAGGTAGAGTCAATGGATGGAAGGCTGGTTTACATAATGGACTGAACTGTGTTCACAACTCTCTAGTTTCTTATGGTTGAAGAGCAGTTGCCATACCACGCTGTGATGCATCCAGATAGGATGCTTTCTGTGGTGCCACCAGAGGCCTAAACATCCTTGACCATTGCTATCGTACCTTCAAAGACGCCTACCGCTTCATTGCCCATCTGCATTTTGAAAATCAAATCACAACGCTGTGCTTGTCCTCCTGGCCTACAAGCAGAAACTGAAGCACGACGACCCAATACAGAAAGTAGTGCAGTGTTGGTCTGAGGCAACAGAAGGACTTCTACAGGACTGTTTAGAGTCAGTGGACTGGGCCATATTCAAGAACTCAGCAGCCAAAATAAACAAGTATGCCGCTACTGTCACTCACTTCATTAGTAAGTGTGTAGAGGACTGCATGCAAGTGTTCCCCAATTGGAAGCTATGTAAGAACTGGGAGATCCACTCACTAGGAAAGGTTAAAGAAGTCTGCAAATGCCTCTGACAGAGTGCATGGCCAGGGACTCCATCTGGGCCAGTTGTTTTCTGTGGGTTTACGCCCATGAAGACTGATCTAACGTCTGAGGTGCTGACTATGGATATAGGTACAACTGAGGCTGTTGGGATAGGTGACATCATTTCACTGACCTTTTGTTCAAAGCGAGCATAGAATACAGTGAGCTTGTTGGGCAGAGATGTATTGTTGCCTGTGATTCTGTTCGACTTCACTTTGTAGCCCGTTATGTCATTTGTGGCAAGGCTTACAAGACATGATTGGTCTGGGTCTCCAGCTTAGTTTGGTATTGCCTCTTGCCATCTTTGTTGGCCTGACAAAGGTCATACCTGGATTTCCTGATAGGTCAGTACTCTGCAGCAGGATATAAATACGCTGGCAGTCAATTCCCAGATGGAATTTAGTACTCAGGAGTGTAAGCTGATACATTCAGGAAAAAGGATAGGGGGAAACAATATGTATTTAATGGTGCAGCTCCAAAGAGTGTGCACAAAGACCTGATAAGGTAGGCACATTGATTTTTGAATGCAGTGGGCCACAATAGCATTATCAGCATAGCATTTAGGATTTTGGGTTTCGTGAATACAAAATCAAGGAGATTATGCTGAGCTTTTATAATGTTCTGCTTAGACCACAACAAGAGTATTGTGCCCAATTTAGGAAGGATGTGAGGGTCCTTGACGAGTTCAGAGGAGCATTACCCAAGTGTGATGAGGGATGTTAGCTACGAGGTTATCTTGGAATTATCCTTGAAGTGAAGGAGATTCAGGGAGATTTAATAGTGGTGTACAACATTATGACAGGCTTAGGTAAAGTAGACAAAGAAAAGCTGTTCCCATTAGCTGACCGTACAAGGACAAGGGGACACAAATTCAAGGTTTTGAATAAAAGCTATGGTGGGGGGGGGTCAGGGTTTGTGAGGCAAAGCCTTTTAAACAACAAGTAGTAATGATCTGGCATTCACTGCTTATGAGATGATGGGTGCAAAGGTGATCAATGAATTTAAAAGGAAATTGAATGGGCACTTGTTTTAAATACACTTACAGAGAATGAAACTGATTGGATTGTTTTACGGAAAGGTACCATAGACTTGATGGGACAAATGGCCTCTTCCCATGACATCATGACATTGTCATCTTTACTAATGGAGACAAATGTTTTTATCATCAAGATTTGAACAATATGGTCCTAATAATAACTCAGATGCTGAGCAAAATAAGGGGAAGTGATCAAGATTTAGGGGGGTTGGATTATAAAGTTTAAGCTTTTCAGAATAGGATGTTCAAAGTGAGAGATTGGGGTGAGATTGTCATTTTTGATGGGATTTGAGCCAGCGATAGATTAGGATTCTCGTGATCCGAGTTAAGAGCCATTGGGATTTCAACTGGGAATATATCAGGGTCCTCAGGCTTGGATCAGGGAGAGATCAAGATCTTCAGCGTTTGGGTTATAAATAAAAACAGAATCTTTTGAGATTGCATTGGAGGGATTTTGGTCCTTGAGATTTTGGAGTTGGGAAATATTGGAACCTTTGAGATCTGGTTCAGGAGGTGATACTAGGCAACGTGGACTCTGTTAAAATATCTCTCCTACGTATGTGTGGAATTTCCTACTGTGTTGTATCTCTGCCTCCCTCCTGTAATATGTTGTGCCATCTCTCCCCTAAATTTAGTCAGTCTCTCTTACGCCTGCATTTGCTGTCTCTATTCATAGTTCTCTATTGATAGTTCTCTCACATGCTTTACCCTGCATTTCACATCTCCCTCACTCTGTAAGTTTCTTCTGTGCTGTACTGCCCTCACACCCATACACTTTCTCTTCTGGAATGGCGTCTCTCTTTATATTGTATTTATTTTAATCAACCTGTTTGGACATGTAATGACACACCCTGGGAGCATGTGGGACTTGAACCTGGACCTTCTGGCTCAGAGTTAGGGACATTGCCACTGCACGACATAATTCTATCACTGGACTGTGTTGCTTTTAATCTGCTTTGCACATTGTATTTATCTCACACTCTGTCCTGTTTGCTATCTTTCACTGTCTCCAATACTGTGTGCCTCAAGCTGCTTCTCTTGTACTGTAACTTTCACTTTTTTCTTTTTCTCGTCTCAGTCTTTCTCTGCCCTCATTCACCACCTGCTAACCAAAAGGAGGAAACGATGAATGGTAATTATATTAAAAATCAATCCATTCACAGTTAAAATGAATATTGATGTTTATTTTTCAGTAAATTACCATTCTGCTGATGGTCATATACAGAAAATAGAATATCAGTGACGATTCACTCCAGTCTGTTTGTCTATCAGATTTGTAATTTATTTTGCTGTTTGTCTTAGGGATCGTTCAGATGTGGGCCCTGTCAGTCTGGATATGTTGGAGACCAAGAGAGGGGCTGCAAGCAACAGAAGAGCTGCAGCAACGGTCTCCTGAACCCCTGTCACTCAAATGCACAATGCTTTATGGAAAGGGATGGCATCATTTTGTGTACTGTGAGTTTTCAGCATTGACTCCATGTGAATGAATGGCATTGAGTGCTATGGACTGACTGAGGAAAGCAGCGCAGTGACAGAAAGCACTCTATGACTCAGTCAAATCTAATGTCCTCTGTTTCTCTTTCAATTGAAACTGGATGCTTCAGTGTGTTGTGAAATTAGAGATGTCGTAGGATGTTTCAAGGTCTCAAGAGATACAGTGGCTGAGGTAGAACGAACAAAAGAGTGGAATCTATCTGCTGTGTGAATGAAGCAGTCTTAATGAGTGAATGTTTGCTCAGTTTTTCTGAACTTAAATTAAATGCATACAGTAATTAACAGTATCCAGTCCCAGGCAAGCCTTTGTGACTAAGAGCATTAAGACCAGAGGAAATTTTCCATTACCTAATTCCAGCAGTACCTGTGTTAATTGTGGAATAAATTGTTACAAGGTCAGTTTCAGTGACTGAATAAAATATTTTGAAAGTAATCTTCCCACAATTAAACTAGTCTGGTGTATGTAGAAGATGAAATTGCCTTTTCTTAACTTTAGCTTTAATGGTATATTGCACACAAACTTTTATCTTCTGAAAATCAATGCATTAGTTGTCAATTAACAATATATAGCTTGTTTAAGTGTGAATGAACAAATATCAACTCAGATAAATGAAACAAGGAACAACGGATGCTCGAAATCTGAAACAAAAACAGAAATTGGTAGAGAAATTCAGCAGGTCAGGCAGCATCTACGGAGAGAAAACAGTTAGTGCTTTGAGTCCAGTGACCCTTCTTCAAAATTCAGTGTGTTTGTAACAATTTTGTATGCATCTCTCCAGATTTGTTTCTTCTTTCACCCCATCCCTATCCTGAAATGTTGACCCCCCCCAACCTAATGAGGTGTGGTTATCCAGCATCTTGTCAATGTTTGTCATGTGCCCTACGACCTACACCCGTGAACAGAAAATGACTGCGTGCACTATTTTAGGACAGACTCCTCCTCACAGCTGCCTTTGTTTCTTTCTATAGTGTGGAATCGGCTGGGCTGGAAATGGTTATGTATGTGGCAAAGATACAGACATCGATGGCTATCCTGACCAGGAACTCAGGTGCCCAGATAACAACTGCAGGAAGGTTAGCAAAAATTTTTGAAAAATCACTGCGGCCATGTCCAGTTACTGTAAAAGTGTGGGATTCATTCACAGCAGAGCACAAACCAAGTATACATTGAGTATGTTTTACTGTATATTTAAGGGATTCATGGCAATAAGGAAGGAAAAGAGGCAGAATGGAGAGGGCTTTAGAGCTTGGAAAGACAAAATCCTGATTTATGTTTAGCATCTGATGGTTGTTACTTTTTTTTTCCCCTGTGTACTCCATTTGATGTATTGCTTGCATTTCTCTGGTAAGTTTCCAGCATCTTTCCCTGTGCAGCTATGAAGTAGCATCCCAAAAATGGAAACACTTCAAAGTCTTTTACATTCAAACTGAATTTGCACTCATGAAGTTCGCAAAAACTGTGTAGTTAGTGTGTAATTTGGAAAACCAATTGAAACTATAGTAACTAGAGAAGGTGATCAATCCCAGCTAGATCTCAAATTGATGAGATTCCCACTAAAGCCTATTTGAAATCAACAGGATCTGGAGTTTAATGTCTGCTATGGAATTCTGCCACAATGTAGGTAGGCAATGGCCTAGTGATATTACCACTAGACTATTAATCAAGAAACTCAGCTAATGTTCTGGGGTTGGGGGTTCAAATCCCACTGGGGTCTAATGATGACCATAAAATCATAGTTGATTGTTGGAAAAACCCAAGAGTTTAACTGATGTCCTTTATGGTAGGAAATCTGGCATCCTTAGCTGGTCTGGCCTGCATATGATTTCAGACCCACAGCAATATGATTGACTCTTAATTGCCCTATGAACAATTAGGGATGGGCAATAAATGTTGGCTTAGCCAGTGATACCCACATCCTGTGACTGAATAATTCAAAATATCCAGGATTCATTTCAAGTTCTGATTTCCAAGGTAATTTTGAAGTTTTGGCCTTTTTTTTCAATTTAATTTCTTAACCTGAGACAAAGCTTGTTTTGTTTGTGGAAATTCATTCCATGGTTTGCTTCAAAGCAATCATTAACTTATTCACTTATCTGAATATGCTACAATGGAAGAGAAAAATACTCCCTTTGTCTATTGTCCTTGAAGCATTTCTCATGCTTTGATTTCATAGAATCCCTACAGTGTGGAAGCAGGCCATTCAGCCCATCGAGTCCACACCGACCTTCAAAAGAGCATCCCACCCAGACCTACAACCCTACCCTATCTCTGTAACCCTGTATTTCCTATGGCTAATCAAACCACCCTGCATATGCCTAGACACTATGGGCAATTTAGCACGGCCAATCTACCTAAACTGCACATCTTTGGACTGTGGGAGGAAGCTGGAGCACCCAGAGGAAACCCACACAGACACAGAGAGAATGTGCAAACAGTCATCCAAGCCTGGATTCAGACCTGGGTCCCTGGTGCTATGATGTGGAGGTGCCGATGTTGGACTGGGGTGGACAAAGTCAGAAGTCACACGACACCAGGTTATAGTCCAACAGGTTTATTTGAAATCACAAGCTTTCGGCGTACTGCTCCTTCATCAGGCGAAGTGACTCACTTTACCTGACAAAGGGGCAGCGCTCAGAAAGCTTGTGATTTCAAATAAACCTGTTGGACTATAACCTGGTTTCGTGTGACTTCTGACCTGTTGCTATGAGGCAGCAGAGTTAACCACTGAGCCACTGTGTCTCCCTTTCTCTCCTGCTATCTGACCGCTTTTCTTTCCGTTTCACCATTTTAGGTGATTCCCTATTTGTTGCCTTATGCCATATATCCTTCTCTTTTCCCACTATTTGATTCCTCTATTTCATCTCTTGTGTTATTTAACTTTCCTGTCCCTTTTGACTCTTTCACATTCTGGGGATCTATTGATCTTTATAGCATTTGAGGGACTTTGGATTGAATTGATTAGGGGCCCAGCCTCCAAAATGGCAGGCAGCAAAGCAAAGGTCACAGCCACGGCCTGTTGGGTTGGTGGATAGCAGGCAGTGGGGAAGCAGCAGCATCAAAACTGTGTCAGAACTGGGCAGGAGATTATGGAGTGGAGATTGATTGATCAGCACAAGGAAGGGAGTGAAGCTACAAACGCAGGGCCATGACCTGCAAGGGGGGAGGTGTGAAAATCTGATCAGTGGAGGCAAAAGCTGAAAACTCCCCTGTAAGGCCGAGGCTGAGCAATCCAGCTCTTCCCAATGTACAAGAAATGATGTAAGAAGCCAATCTTGTACTTAATCAGCATCTCCCACATTGTTTTTCTTATTGAGCGTCTAACAGTATGGGCCTTCTCTAGAGAAGGTGAGCTTTAAGTAGCAATGCTAACTATACCATTGGGCTGTGAATCCTACCTGTCTTTTGCAGGAGCCTTGTTGGGGGCTTTCTTTTAATTTAATCAACTGAGAATGGAGTTGGTTGCTGGATCCCAAAATGTTAAGCATCTTGCCCAATTCTTCGACTCTTCCCTGACTTTTCTGTATAATTCAGGAGATACAATGCCTGCAGTTTCATCTTCTACCTTCAAGTTATCCATGGCCTAAAACAGTGACTTACTAGCACTTTATTCAACTTAATAGATGGTATTTGATGCTTTCAATGCAGTCTCCTGAAGAATCCAAACACAGATTGGGTAGTTGCACAAATGTGACTTTAAGTTTCCAATTACTTGCTGTTATTCTTCTCTGCCTCACTCCCATTATGATCTCTTTGTCCTGAGCTGAATCTTTCCAATCGGTGTCTGCCCCCGTCTGTAGCCTGGGCAGTGTTACTGGGATCGATGGCATTGCTGAAGCCTCCTCAGAAACATGGGGCACCTCAATGCTCAGGTTCTCAAAACCATACGCAATTTTCGGAGGACGTTTGGACCAGGTGGACATACCTGGACTGTCAGGTTTGGGGGAGTAGTTGCTATGGCATCTCCTACAGCTGGGGAACTCCCTGTAAACACCCAGGGTTTATTTGGCAGTTTCTCATTGCGGCATTAAGCATGATTGATATGGGTAAAAGTGCCCATAAAGGCCATTTATTTGATTTGCATGCAGCTCGGTGCCCAGTGATACTGTGGTAGTGTCACTAAGATTTCTGTTCCAGCTGCTGGCAATAAGTCATGGTGACAAGAAATTGTCAGACTCCCTTCTCATTGCCACCTCCCACCATCTTTTTGCAGAGACCAACTGCTAGTCTTGCTTCTTGGTTTATCACTGTTTATTTCCAGCTCCTCCAGTATCATCTTTCATTCCTTTATCTATCCCATGGCCATCCCTCTCTCCGTTTCTCCATTATCTTTTTCATCATTTAAATGAACTTGAAAGATTGGCTAGAGTTTTTAATTGCCCATGGAGGCCAGAGAACCAGCATGCGGCACTTGGAAAAAATAAGTGTTCCCAGATGGTCTGTCAGAGCCCCAAAGTTTCCGGGAAGCACGAGAAAGGATGGGATGGGACTGTCACTGTCTAGGCCAGCATTTGTTGTGCATCCCTAATTGCCCTTGGCCTGGGCAGTTTGCTAGGCTGTTTCAGAGAATGGTGAAGACTCGACAACCGGAATCTCACAAATGCTAAATCAGGTAAATATGGCAAACTTCCTTCTGCCCTAAAGGACCTTAGTGAACCAAATGGATATTTATGATAATCAATGGCTCATGGTCACAATTACTGAACCCAGCTTTAAACTGAATTTAAATTCCACCAGCCACCATGATGGGATTTGGACCCATGTCCCTAGAGCATTAGCCTAAGCCCCTTGATCATTAGTCCAGTGACACCATCTTTTCACCACTATCGCTTCTGGCTTGTCATTCTTGAAAAATAACATGGCAAGTGAGAAAATTTCCAAAGCAAATCTACTGTGCTTAAATAAATTGGAAAAATATAAAGGAAAATTAGGAATTGGCACACCATTTTTCTTCAAAAATATTTAAACTTTGTATTTGACAATAGACCATGAGGATTGCAGGGCCAACGTTCCCCCAGCTGTGTACAAGTCAGGTGGAGTGCCATGTCTGATCTGATTTTACCCTGGGCCCTCGATATCCCAGACACAAGCTGTAGCAGGACTCTGTGCCTGGAAATGGCTGCAGGCCCCCAACTGAGGGAATGGCAGCCAGCTGCAAAATCTTGTGAGTATTGATCAAAAACAGCAGCTAGACCAGCCTCCAGCCCTGAGAATAAAAGTTGTCTTTCCGCTCCTTTACTTTGAATAAGGTTTGACAGAATGTTTACACTTTCCAAACAGATGTCACCAGTCATTCAGGAAGAAATTAGATGAAAGGTGCAGTTACACTCCCTCCAACTCATTTTCAAGTTCACACCTTCATCCCTAATTGATCTCGAACTGAGTAGCTTTCTAGGCCATTTGGAAATATCAGAAATTTAAAATGGAATAGACATCCATTGTTGTGAGTCACAGACATTTTCTCCTTCCGCTTTGTAACCAGTTGATCCACACAAACTATTAATGATATTTTTCTGAAATAGTCATGCATATGGTGCAGTAGGACAAAATAATCTGAGGCACACATCAAAGAGAGCTATGGCCTTATTTAATCAACTGAAGTAGATGTTTAAGGCTGAAATTATGAATCTATAGTGCTGGCTGGGGGTCTGAATGGGTACAAATGTTGCTTACACTTCTGGTACTCTCTCCATTTCTACCACCTATGTTTGCATCAAGCAGTGACTCCTGTAAGCAATGAGACTTTATCATTTCAATCCTTGTAGTGTCTCTTATTTTGGAATCTGGGTAGGAAACAATGTGGAATAAACAAGTATCATCTAGGCCATTACTTCAGTGCATCGCCAACTGTGAAAAGTTCCGTGCTGCTGTTTGAGCCCACACTGTTATTTGTGAAAGTTGCAGTAGGGCTGAAAAGCAAGATAGTGGAAAATGTATTGACTGGTAATGTTAGATTCTGTACTATACTGGAGACTGGATAGATTGGAAAACTTTCTAATTTTCAGTCTTATTCTTTAGATCCGTTTGTCTCATTTTCTCAATAGTGAAAATATGAAGCTACTCTTTGTAAGTGATTTAGAAGTGGACATATATGCTGTATCTTTTAAACATTTTTTTCTTGCTTCTTAGGATAACTGCATATTTGTTCCCAATTCTGGACAAGAAGATGCTGATGGTGATGGGGCTGGAGATGCTTGTGATGATGATGCAGATGGAGATGGCATTTTCAATGCACAGGCATGTGCTTAAATTATAACACCAACATTTCTTTCTTAGATTTGTAACCATTTAATTGGAGGCACTAATAGCTGTGTGCAGCTTTGGAGGTGTGTAAAAGACATAGTAACAACAACAGAATATTTCAATCAATGGTATTTTGGATAAACAAATAACCATTCTTTTGCAAATGTGAACTGTTCCTTAACCTTTCTGATTAGCCAATTTCCAATAATTATGTTTATTGCTTTTATGTTTTCTTGAATTTGCTGTTTCCCACTTGCCTGCTGATAGTTCCTGCTCAGGCAAGTTACTCCATATGGGCCACTGAGATGGAAGGCATTAACAAGTCATTGCGGAGATGTAAACAGTCAGTCAGCAGATTTTTTTTAGTTCAACTTTTCAAAGCAGATGTGCTCTGTGCTCAAGTAAATTGGAAAAGGATAAAAGAAATTTAAGTTAGAGTGTTTCAACCCAGGTTAGTACCAGGACAGCTTGAGGAGCAAGACAGTGTTTCACATTGTGTTGTGGGCTGCTGTGGTGTCCAGGAGCACCTGTGCCTGGTTCAGCTTGTTAAGGAAACCCTTTTAGATGTAGGTGGTGAATGCCAGAACTGGATCACATGTGCTGTGCCTCTCATGGAAATCAGCCTGAGCAACATTAAAGATGGTCCCAACTTCCAGAGAAATGTATTGCATGGTAGAACGCTTAGAGTTCCTAAAGCACACAATAACTAGCGAAGCAGTTGATACAGCTGGCTACCAATGCGAGACCTTATCTGGGTTCAGAGTGGCAGTGATTTTTCCATATGTCACACCTTCAGGAGGGAGCTTGAGCTGATGATTCTTGTGTAAAATTGAGTTAGGCAGAAACAAGCTCAGGTCCAAAACCGTTTCAGAACATCGAATGCACAATTGTCATATCTTGCTGCTTTGTCACATTTCAGTGTGGAATAAAGCTACAGCTGTGATTATGGGTGAGTTTAATCTGTGTATTGATTGGGCAAATCAAATCAGGAACAATACTGTAGAGGAGGAATTCTGGACTGTGTACACAATAGTTTTCTGATTCAATATGTTGAGGAGCCATCTAGAGAACAGACCAAAAACAGAAGTTGCTGGAAAAGATCAGCAGGTCTGGCAGCATCTGTGAAGAAAAAAATCAGAGTTAACGGTTCAGGTCCAGTGACCCTTCCTCAGAACTGATAGTAGCTTGTAGTATTTTCTGCATATAAACTGACATTTTCCCAGCTACCATCAGGTCTGGGGAAGAGTCACCAGACCCGAAACGTTAACTCTGATTTTTGCTTCACAGATGCTGCCAGACTTGCTGAGCTTTTCCAGCAACTTCTGCTTTTGTTCCTGGTTTACAGTATCCGTACTTCTTTTGGTTTTTATTAGAGAACAGACCATTCTAGACTGGGTATTGTGTAATGAGAAAGGAATAGTTGACAATCTAGCTGTGCGAGATGCCTTGGGAGAAGAGTGACTGTAATATGATCAAACTTTTCATTAAGATGGAGAATGACATTGTTGTTTCTGAGACTAGGGTCCTGAATCTAAACAAAGGAAACTATGATGCTATGAGGTGCGAGATAGCTATGATAAATTGGGATGTGTTGTTTGATGGTGGATAAACTGAAGATTGTTGCGAATGCATCAACTTTAACTTTTGCACTGAGGTGCTAGGCTCTCCCATCGTTGAGGATGGGGATATTTGTGAAGCATTCTCCTCCAGTGAGGTGTTTAATTGTCCACCATCATTCACAACTGGATGTGGCAGGACTGCGCAGTTTAGATCTGATCCCTTGGTTGTGGAATGGCTTTGCTGTATCACTTGGTGCTTATGTTGTTTGGCATGTAGTCTGTTTTATACGTTTACCAGGTCGACACCTCATTTTAGATATGTCTAGTGATGCTTCTGACATTCCATCATGCACTCTCCATTGAGCCAGGGTTGATCCCCTGGCTTGGTGGTAATGGTTGAGTGGGAGATATGTTGCACCATGAGGTTGCAGATTGTATTGGAATACAATTCTGCTGATGCTGATCACACACAGCGCATCATGGATGTCTGGTTTTGAATTGCTAGATCCGTTCCAAATCTATCAAAGGATGGTAGCTGCTTGGAACTCTCTTCCACAAATGGCAGTGGATCATAGTTCAGTTGTTAATTTCAAACCTATCTTTGCTTAACAAAAATGTACCTAAGGGAAATGGGTCAAAGGCAGGTATGTGGAGTTGGCCACAGAGCAGCCATGATTTAATTGAATGGTGGAAGAAGCTCGATGGACTGAATGGCCTATTCCTGTTCCTACTTAGTTGGGTGAGATTACCACACAACATGTCTTTCTCAGTTTCAATTTCTAATTTACTAATCTCCATAATCTTCAGTTCATTCAAAGCTCTGCTTATACATCACCCTTCATTGAGATTTTTGGACTCCTAGTCTCCCAACAATTAAATGTAAAATTTTCATCTTTATAAATAAATCATGGCCTTACCTGCCCACATGTCTGTGACCTTCTCAGAATCCTAAAACCTATTATTTTCAGATAGTGTGGAAGAATGTATGAAGAAGTGCTGAGCGCGTCAAGAACTCAGCTAAGGGTTCAGTGAAGCCACCAATGTTCTTTTTGTTTAGCATTCTGGGCATCACTGCCAAGGCCAACATTTACAGTTAATCCCTAATTGCCCTTGAAAAGGTTATGATGAGCCACCAGCCTGAACCACCGCACAGTCTTTGAAGGGAAAGGGCTTGCCCAGTGAGGTTCTGAAGAAGCTGTACGACTTTGGTCAGTGATGAAGGAAGGGAGATTAAATGTACAGAAAGTGATGGCAGGATATATTGACTACTGCAGACAAATTCCTAAAGTGCCATTCAATGATGTGAAGGTTTGCACCTCTTCCTCCCTCACCCTGGGTAAAAAGTTGTGAAATCTACCCCAGTGAAGATTTCCCTTATGTTTGAGCAAATACCACAAATATTTGCTGTAATTTTCTCTGTCAGGAGCTGTAGATTTCTATTTGTATGAACACTCAGTGAACGGTAACAATTTCAAGCAACTGCACAACAAACAATGGAGGAGCTAATGGCTTTATTTATAGCATTTCCCGACATAAAAGAAACAACTGCGAATTGGAGAATTTCTGAAAGCAGAAAGCATTTGTTACCTAGTGATGTCTGCACAGAATGAATCTGGTAGGCATTCACAGCATCAATAATAGCAACTGGAACAAATTTCACCAGGGTCAGCCTCGGGTCATGTCAATCCCAGCCAATAACTTGCCAAGTCTGAAAGCTGCTGCACAAATGTCTGACTTCATAGTTGCTAGGTTGGCTATTGGCTATAATACATCGATAGACAGTCAGTTTGAGACATGTCAGTGGGAAAACTATCCTGCAATTTACAATGAGGAGCTCAGTTCAGATATACACAACCACAGATTGAACTCAGTAGAATATGTTCCAGTAGTTCTATGGCTGCACAGTTAAGCCTATCCATTTGAAGAGAACAATTATAACCTGTAATTTACTCCCATACTCTTTCCATTAGTTGGTGTATTAATTCAATGATTGATACTGTTCACTTTATTGGACATATAATCTAACACAGGGTTTTCTCGTTAAATTAAATCAAACCATAAATTATGTGCAAAGCAAGCTCAATATAAATCCCATTACCCACTGTCTAATTTTTCTCGCAGTATCTCTAGACATTAAAACATCAAGGGATAGCAAGATGGTGTGAGAAAATGGTATGGAGGTAGAAATAAAGCCACAATCTTATTGAATAAGCTTATTCCTGCTCTTAGTTCACACATTTCTCTCTTTCTTTTACCAATATGCAGCCACAGAATTGACTGTACCTTATCTCTCCACTGGATGATTTTACAGAAATGCAGTGAGGAGTGTGGAATCCGCTATTTGCACCAGCTTGCAATTCAGCAACTACAACCTGTATTTACATACAATGCCTTTCACATGGTAAATCATCACAAAGTGCTTTACAGGAGAGCTAGCAAACAAAATTTGATTCTGAGCCGCATAAGGAGTTTTAAGATCAAGTGGCCAAAAGACAGCTTTAAAAAGCAGGTATTTACGAGCATTGCTAACAAAGAGAAAGATGGAGAGGTACAGGGAGGCTATTTCATGTCTTAAAGCTTCGACAACTGAAGGCACAACCACAAATGAGAAGAAATGAAAACTGGGCTGAAAAAATAGGCCAGAATAATGGGGAGGAAAGGAGCTCATGCAGGGCTGTAGTGTTGGAAAATGTTGTAAGGGTTGCTGGTTGGTTCAACGAACCTGACTGGTTTTTGTGCAAAGTTTCATCCCCCTTCTAGGTGACATCTTCAGTGCTGTCTAGCCTCTGTTGAAGCGCTGTTATTTTGTTCCATTCTGAATTTATCTGGTTCAGTTATGGTGGGTAGTTCTGTTTTGCTGTACAGTGGTATGTGGATGGGGTCCATTTCAACACATTTGTTTATGGTACCAGTGGTTGAAACCCAGGCTTCCAGGAATTCTTGTGCTTGTCTTCGTTTTGCTTGTCCCTAGTTCTGTTACGTTGTCCGGGTTAAACTGATGTCCTTGTTTGTTGGAATGAATAGAAACGAGGGAGAGTTGGTTGTGCCATTTTGCAGCGAGTTGATGTTTGTGTATCCTGGTGGTGAGTTTCCTGCCCATCTGTCTTATGTATTGCTTATCACAGTTGCTGCATGGATATTTTGTATATTACATTTGTCCTGCTCATTGTGGGTATGAGGTCTTTCGTCTTCGAGAGCAGCTGGCGAAGTGCGGCTGTTGGATTGTGTGCTGTCATTATTCCAAGAGGTCGTAGGATTCTTGTAATCAGTTCCGATATGTTTCTAATATAGAGTAAGGTGGCCAGTGTGTTGGGGCATACAGTGTCTTCTCAGTGTTGTTTATTTGCCAGGCATTGGCGGATGAAGCTATTAGGATACCCATTGTTTGCAATGACTTTGTACAAGTGTTCCTCTTCATTTTTGCGTAGCTCTGGGGTGTTGCAGTGCGTTATCGCTCATTAAAACAGAGTCCTGACACAGCTGGAGTGGTTACTGTTGTAATTCAGGATTTGGTCTGTGTGTCGTCTTCCTGTATACACCGGTCAGGAATTCACCATTCTTCGTTTGTTCCATCATTATGTCCAGAAACGGGGGTTGATTGTTGTTCTCCTTTTCCCTGGTGAACTTGATCCCGGTGAATATGCTGTTCGTAAGATAGTGTGTTTCTTCTAACTTTGCTCGTTTAATGATCAAAAAAGTATCATCCATGTACCTGACCCATACTTTAGGCTAGATCTGAGGAGGGCTGTGCGTTCAACTCTTTGCATAACAGCTTCTGCTATGAGACCCCCAGATGGGTGAACTCATGGGTGTCCTGTTAAGATTTGTTCATATACCTGGCAGTTGAAGACAAAGTGCGTGGTAAGGCACAGGTCTAGTAATTTCAAATGTTGTAGGTTCCAGAGGGGCAGGGCCATGAAGGGGTTTGAAAACATGAATGTGGAGTGAGGATATCTGGAAGATACTCAGAATGCAATTCAACAGCTTGGCTTTCATATTTGTTTAACCAATGCATTCTCATAAGGAGTTTTCAAACAATTGCAAAAGAAGACGTAAGGGAGAGAGATCTATTATTTCTTTCTCGGAAAATATACTTGCAGCTCATGTTTTAAACTGGATTGGTCATCTCTCCTTTGCCATTATAATACAAAATCAATATTTTCCATTGAAACATCTTGAAGAATTTACATGTAAACCTCACTCCCTTGATCAGATTATGCCTGGGAATTTATCCAGATTTAATTCTACATTTACTAAAGTGACATTTAGCTCTTAACTCTTATTTAGAGCCAACTGAATCAGAAGTAGTTCTCTGATTCCCAGATTTTTTCATTTACTGTACCCTCTACCTAACCCACACAAACATAGCTGCTAGATCAGGTTTGTAGCGGGTGGTGAGGGAACCAACCAGAGAAAAAACACTTGACCTCATCCTTACCAATCTGCCAGCTGCAGATGCATCTATCCATGACAGTATTGCAAAGAGTGACCACTGCACAGTCCTTGTAGAGATGAAGTCCTACCTTCACATTGAGTATATCCTCGATCATATTTTGTGGCACCATCACTATGCTAAATGGGACAGACTTTGAACAGATCTAGCAACAGAAGACTGGGTATCCATGAAACACTGTAGGCCATCTACAGCAGCGGAATTGTACGCCAGTTCAATCTGCAACCTTATGGCCTGGCATATTCCCCCACTCAACCATTACCATCAAGCCAGGGGATCAACCCTGGTTCAATGGAGAGTGCAGGAGGAGCAGCGGGCATACCTATAAATGAGCACTCAACCTGATGAAGCTACCCAACAGGACTACTTGCATGCCAAACGGCATAAGCAGGAAGTGATAGGCAGAGCTAAGTGATCCCACAGATCTAAGCTCTACAGTCCTGCCACATCTAGTCATGAATTGTGGTGGACAATTAAACAACTCCCTGAAGGTGGAGGTGCCACAAATATCCCCATTCTCAATGACGGAAGAGCCCAGCACATCAGTGCAAAAGTTAAGGCTGAAGCTTTCACAGCAATCTTCAACCGGAAGTGCCAAGTGGATGATACATCTTGGCCTCCTCCTGTAGTCCCTAAACAAATGTTAGGCAATGACCATCTCCAACAAGAGATTATTTAACCATCACTCATTGGCATTCAGTGGCATTAGCTTCACTAATTCCCCACTAATTACCATTAACCAGAAGCTGAACTGGTCTAGCCGTATAAATACTGTGGCTGCAAGAAAAAAATCAGAGGCTGAGAATTCTGTGACAAGTAACTCAACTCCCAACTCCCAACTCCCAACTCCCAACTCCCAACTCCCAACT